TTTGACGTTTCACGTTAATCATTCCGCAATAACTTTGCACAAGCGTACTCACACAATTTAAAATAACCTTTTACGTAAATCCGAAGAATTATGAAGTTTTCTATATTTCATTACAACATGTATAGTTTTTTATCATTAATTTAAATTCGAATCTTACAAACAAAGCAAAATATTAAAAAATTTACCAGTATCAACTTTTTTACTTGTTGTCGTTTCAATATGTCGCTACCGTATACGTATGTACATTACCGTAGTGTTCAGGGTGATTAAAATTCGTTGTTATTCGAATAATCGACATTTTTTTTTTAAATAATCAGTAAAAATATTCAAATAATCGAATCATAAATTTTTTAATGTTTTATTTGTTTAATTAAATTTTTATTTTTAAAATTACCTGAATCACGATTAAATCAAGTTTAATTTTTTACTTTGTCAACGTAAATTTGTATAGGCAAAAAAACTCATACACAAGGCCGCGCTGAAAAAACCACTAGGTAATTTCAAACTTCCTCCATTTCGGGAGCTTACTGTGCGTAATTTTGTGATTTTGTGTTTGTCTTCTTATTTTGTCACTCGGCTTTAACTTTTTGGACTGTTTCTTCTATATTCGTTGAAGCATGTACCCACGTCACAAAGGATGGTTGGATAAAAGTAGTAAATAAAACAAAAAAATGATTTTGGATGACTGAAAAGACATTAACTTTGACTGCATAATTAAAATAAAATAATAATTAATCTAAAAAACGACAGCTCAACTAGTTGTACTGAAAGTGATTGAATAAATTTATGTTTAATCTAGTTTCGATCTTAAATTTTTATAACTTTGCCTCTAGAAATAAGCAGTAACAACAAATACGAAGAAACTGATAAATCTTGTGTTTTAAATTACCCGTTTCTAATTTATTGTGGTATGATTCAAACCAAACTGTATATGATTACTAACTCTAAATAATCAATATCGATTTTTTTAAGAATCGTATATTGTACGTTCCCATTTTTTGGTTGGCATGCTTGGTGCAATAAGTCTGACAGCTGTCAAAATGTATTTCTTAGATTTGGTTGACTATAGAGAAAATTATAACGATAGATTGGCTGAGTAAATTATAATGATAATTCACGAGTCAACTGAATAATGACGAGTAAATTATAATGATAGTTCACGTTGTTCATTTTTGTCATTATAGCCGCCGGCCGTATAGCTCGAAGAACCGAAAACCAATGGGGAAGAAAGGTTCTCGAGTGGCAGCCTTGTACCGGTAGACGTAGTATAGGGCGACTAGAAGAGAAAATTCCCTTAGTAGTTAGACTAGAATAGAAATTACGCTTTATACTTCAACAAATTTAAGTTGCTATTTTATAATAATAATAATAATTGGTTAGTAACATAACATTATTATAGAATCATTGTTAGTTTAAAAATCTAAGAAAAGAGAGAAAAAATCATGAATTTTAACAACAATTTCAATAATTACTAAAACTTACTTATATAAAAAATACATTTTATTATAATTAGTTAAATTTACTTAAATTTACATTTAAATTCTTATGCATGTGAATGCGGATCCAGTGTCTTAAAAGCGGAGAGTCCCACCTATCGGTTAAGATGCTATTAGAAGAGTCTCTAATACGAAAAAGAAGCGAGGCGCATCTCTTTCGCACTATAGCATAAAAGTCATCGATACGTGCCTCCGCGAACATAGTAGATGCACTACAGTGACGAGCTAGTCCCATCAAAATCCTGAACGCATTGTTATATTGCACGCGCAGTGCACTATACGTCCGCTGCGTGAACCCAACCCACATGCTACACATATAAAAAGTTTGACAGAATTGTCTGTCTGTCTAGAGGACTTGGCGAATCTGCGAGTCAGCATGTTGCAACGTACTGCCAGTGCCTCAGGTACTTAAACTGAGGTACTCTTTTTACAACTGACCCACACAAATTTACAGGCGGTAAGTTAGCTCCTCTTTTAGCGTCTGCCCCAAAAATCATTAGCTCACTCTTTTTTGTGTTGTATATAAGCCCATGAGTACTGGCATATGATTCACAAATTTTTACTAGTTTTCTCAGTGCTCTGATCGATGGGCTCAACAACAACATATCGTCCGCGTAACTTATGTTATTTATATTGACTCCGTCTATTGAACACCCAATACCAGTGCTGTTGAGCTCAGCGATCAACCCATCATCATCATTCATTCATCATTACAGCCCTTCACAAGTCCACTGCTGAACATAGGCCTCCCCCAAGTAATGCCACAAAGCACGGTCCTGAGCCACCTGCATCCATCGACTTCCTGCATATCTTACCAGGTCGTCACTCCATTTAGTGGGGGGTCGCCCTACACTACGCCTACCGGTACGAGGCTGCCACTCGAGAACCTTTCTTCCCCATCGGTTATCGGTTCTTCGAGCTATATGGCCGGCCCATTGCCACTTCAGCTTACTAATCCCTTGGGCTATGTCGGTCACTCTGGTTTTACTGCTATATCCTCATTTCTGAGTCTATCACGCTGAGAAACTCCGAGCATAGCCCTCTCCATAGCTCGCTGAGCGACCTTGAGCGTCCTCATGCGGCCAGCAGTGAAGGACCACGTCACTGATCCGTAAGTCATCACTGGCAACACGCACCGGTTGTACACTTTAGTTTTCAGAGATTGAGGTATACCTGACGAGAAGATGTGTCGTAATTTCCCGAACGCTGCCCAGCCGAGTTGAATCCGTCGATTGACCTCTCGGTCGAAGTTGGACTTACCTAGTCGGACTATTTGTCCCAGGTAAACGTAATCGTCAACAACTTCGAGCATAGTGCTCCCAACAACTACCGGCATAGGTGTGACATGGACATTAAACATGATCTTTGTTTTGTCCATGTTCATCTTAAGACCTATCCGTTGGGAGGCACTATTGAGGTCATTGAGCATAGTGCTTAAGTACTCCAGCGATTCTGCCATAAGGACTATATCGTCGGCAAATCGGAGGTGAGTGATGTACTCGCCATTGATGTTAATACCGTATCCTTTCAAGTCCAGTAGCTTGAAAACGTCTTCCAAAGCAGCGGTGAAGAGTTTCGGGGATATAACGTCACCCTGTCTTACACCTCTCTGCAGTTGGATAGGTTTCGAGCTCTGGTTCTGTACTCGGATAGGCGACGAATATACTCATATTAACTAATACCGACAAATATCGGTATTACTTGTCGGTATTACTATTAGCCCTCGGCCAGGGCAGTCGGCGACTGCCCGTTCCACGCCCCGCGCGCCTCTCAAGGCCCCCGCACACATCCAGACACCCACACATAGCCGCAAGCGATTTTACGTGCACACATGCTTAAGTGTCGTTTCTTTTCGCGTAGTGTATATATTCTTTGACTATGCTAAAATAAAATGCCTTAACTACTATCTATCTAAAAATAAACTAACAAATGGGTTAACTACCCCATGTATTAAATTATTTCAAATAAACAATAATTTTATAAACAAACCTGGTTGCTTGAGTTGTTCCAAAATTTCCTTCCAAGTCATTTCTTTTTTCTCACTATCCATATATTTCGGGTGTTGTAGATTATATAAAAACTCATATTTACGTACACATTCTATTAATTTTTCATCCTCCATTTTACAACGTCTTTACGTCTCGTTAAACTGACAACAAATGACTAAGTTACGGCAACGCGCTTACAACGCCTATATAACGGTCATCATACGCGTTTACAACCCGTATATTCGCCGGCTCGCCGCCTGCGCCAGCGGCTTGGCAACGTCGCGTGTCAGCACCGGCAAAATATTCTCGCCGACATTTGTTGACGCTCCGTGCATGGCACGCGACGGTGTTGGTCGGTGACGGAACAGTCTAGTGGGAACAGTGTCATACTTTTCAATACAAATAATATTTATTTGCCTGACACGTTCCTAGCACGGTCATGGTATGATACGGTGTAGTGGGCAGAGACCTTTACACCGATCTCAAACTTTCTCTCTGAAGGAATGAGAGAGATCGCCTGTTTTTGTTGTCACTTATGTGTTTGTGTTGCAATGTGCGCACGCTCTTTTGGGGGAATGGGATGGTTGCCTCGTATTTATTTTCTCGCTATCGCTGTCCTTACAGAAAGGGATAGTTGTATCGCCATTATCATTTGCGTTCATATTAATAGCCGATTATAAGTGAGTCACGGCAGGTGACGTAAATTCAAGACCTATTGGCCCACTGTCTCCAAACGAATAATGAACTCCAAAAAATATGATCATTGTTTAATAAGTGTGTATCTCTACGTCTACCCGCAAAATTAAAAGATGTAGCTGTTGTTTTTAAATTAAGATACTTCTCAATATGTTTTTCTAGATTTTCTTTTGTCACGTATACATCTGTCATCATTTGAATATCTGTTTGCAATGTAATAATGTCTTTCAATAATCGTGTAACGTCTACGTGGTCGAAAGTAATCGGTGGCAATTTTTGCAAGTCTTTCGCAACGAAAATTGGTACATCAGGATCTGTTTCTTTAAATAAGGAAATTATATCGACCAGATCTCTTTGTTTTTTGCCCTCATTGCGGCGGTTAGATTGTAGCAGCTTGCCTTCTCTTCGACGAATATTTTTTCGTTTTACGGATGGCAATGATTCAAAAAGAAGGCATTTTGCTTTATCAATATCATCTGCTTCAAATGCATTGCTACAGATACGTACAATGCTCTCCTCATCCATCACATCTGCCTTATTTTGAATAAAGGCCAAGACTTCACTAATCACAATATTGCAACATTAGACGACGTCATTGTCGGACACAGAACTTGTGCTCACTCGGGGGCGGTTCGCGCGAGACTGATGACGAATTTTATACATCTTTGATATCTGTTACTTGCTAAAGCCACTATGATCCAAACTTCATAGTAGCCCAGCGTCCCTACCTATATTGGGAGCATGCGCTGAGAAACTTTGCTGTATGTTGGCAGTATAGAGGTGTCGGTTGCATGGTGTGAGGAGGTGGCAATTACCCAGGTCAGAGCGCGAGCCAGGGGTGGTGGCGCAGCGAGTCACGCGAGCGGTCACCGTAGTCGTAGGTGAGCTCGGTGCCGGGCGCGATGTCGTGCGCCGCCAGCAGCACGAGGCGCGGCCCGTCCACCCACAGCGCCTTGGTCACCAGGTTGCCGGCACGCGAGTGGTTCACCAGCCGCCCCAGCCGCCCGCTCTCCGCAGTCGCGTCGATGCTGCAAACAATAAACAACCTCTTCAACTGAAACCTTCTTAGTGACACTTATACACCGTTACCGTTACAGCCAATTAAAGTCCACTGCTAACATAGGTTTAGTTAGGGTACAGATACTTTGTACGAGATATAATGTATGTAAGTATATGTAAATAAATTTAATAAATGGTAATATATTATAAGTATTAATATTCTTACGAGCTTAGGGTTCGTGACAATAAAAACTGTCGATTGAATTACCAAATTTGACACTTTAATTACTGAACACCAATTAAAACTTAAATCACACTAAACACTTTAGTGCACTTTATTTCGCTCGTATCGCCAATTCAATACTGCCTCGGTCGCGCCCCGTAACGGCTTTATATAGGCCTTTTCCACCGAAACATCTAGAATGTTCCAGCAAAGACCGGTCCCGACCGACTAGGTGTAGAAAGTTCGAGCGCGTAGTTTTCTAGAAAGCTTAGTTCTTCTATTCGTTACTAGATGGCGCTAGTGTGAGTTCTAGAAAGATCTTGACGCTCTTATTTCTGGTCCTTGATACTAGATGGCGCTAATAACCACCGCATGTACGTATGTTTGTATTATATATTTAGTAACTTCTATTGATTTGTATTTTTTTATTGTTGTGTTTAGTTTTTATAACTTATTTGCAAATTTATATATTTTTTAAACACACGGACACATGCATTGCCTTACCATCTCATCTGACACACAAGACAAGCTTGCTTACAGTGGGGCCACAGGTAAATAAATAAACAATTGTTACTTCTGAAAATGACGAATCAAGACTACTTCAAAAATTATGTGTTTACTCGACATTTGGATATAAATAAATATTGTATTTGTAATTTCGATATTACTATAATATGCACCTAATAACTTTGCTAAAAAGAATTGTTTTTTGGTTTTAATGCAAAATTTGCACATTTAATGTTAGCTCGTGTTAAAATTATCTTATACCATCACGAGTACAAGGTTGTAGGCTTGTAGGTACCAGACACATTGCGCGGTTGCCAGCTCGCAAAACGACGCGTTGCCGCTCCGACTTAACTAGGTAATTTTATTAATGAATTTTGGCAAGGGTGATCTTAATTTTAGTTACATTTTTGTTATTTAGTTTGTTTGATAAATTTTTTTTTCAATTTACGAGTAATTTTAATCTATCAAATTTAATATGATTAATGGGCACTAGCCCCACCCGTGTGTAAAATTAAAGTCACCATTGTAAGAGCACGTTGTATAATATGAGTGCACTGCTGGTGGACCTCTGCTGTTTACGGGAAGATTTGCCTTAATCGCTATATTCGGCAGGCGGATAGATGATCGCACCACCAGACGTCTCGCAACTATTACACTGCTCTATCGCCAGTGCCAATCTGGGTACTTTGCCACCATTTATCGGAAAATTTGAGATCTCTTAGACCTTTCCTATATTCACCTTTCTATGACACATTCGTGATGAATGGTATGATGGATACTCTTACGCCACGACCACACGACAAAATTAGAACTTGCAACACCCCGCACAAATTCCATCCTTTGTAACTAGTTGAAGGTGTGTTGCAATAAAAATAAATACTAGAAACTGTAATCCTCGCGGTGGTAAAAAAGGTCTCACCAATACTGTTGATCGCCATGCCTAAAGTAGTACATGTAGCAGCCGGCTTCCGGGTCCTGGGCGTAGCGTCGCTCTCGCTCTCTAGCCTCAGCCACGCCCACCAGCTCGCCCGCGTACTCCACAACAAACTGCCCGCGCCCAAAATGACGCGTTGCTATTACACCGCGCCCTTTACCCTCGAAGTACGCAACCTAATATAAAATTAAAAGCAAATATTAACTTATATAAATAATTATGTACATTTATATATGTAAATTGTGGCTTAATTGGTAGAAGTTATGTAGCACTTTAAAGATTTATTTTTGATAAATAAAGGTTTTATGTGCATATATACCATATAAGATCTTAAAGCAGCGTAATTAGGCTTGGTTTTAGAAATAGGAAGTGATGAAGGAGGTATATGCAATGAAAAAATGGTAATCACTGTGAATGAAAGATATATGGGCACTTAGTGTATACTTTAATGAAAAAGTATTGCAATCTATATTTTCCTGGAGCGGAAGAAGCAGGTTAATGCTTGTAAACGCTTCGTCGCACTGCGTTGTTATGCATGAACGTGTTATGTCCTGTACTTATCTCTTTCATTCATTTGTTTACTATATGTTACGATAATGTCAAGAGCTAGACGACTTGTAGAATCTGTAATAAACTCTTCTACTTCTCATGATTTAAATGACGTTTAGCCCTGTATGCAGTGACCTTCAGACATGCCAGTAACCCGTGGGCCGCCGTTTCCTCCTCTCTTACACATGCTCTGCTCTGTGATACTAAGCAGTTGATTGATTCATTATTATCAATTTATGGTTAATTATGACGGTTGTAAAAAAGTGCGAAATGTATGATCAACAAATTTAGTGTCCCATGACCGATCACAACTTGTGATTTAAAAGTTGTACAGAATAGACAGCAGTCTAGCCTAGAGACCAAATTCATCTGGTATAACTTAAATTAAAAAATGTATAAACTCGCGAAACAAATGGAGCTGATGATCTTCAAAATCCTGAATAGATTTTCTTGAAACATAGTTAAGAACACTCTAGATTAAGACACCTTCCCAAACGAAAAAACCTAATCAAGATCAGTTCACTCCTTCAGGACCTATGATTTTATTTATTTATTTATTTCTACCTCTGTCTTTACAGGCATTCCTAATAAGGCACATAAAACTGTCTAATTTAATAAGTACAGAATACAACTTATCAACTATTATAACACAACACATATAATGTCACTTTTGTGAATTCACCCAAGGAACAGCAGAATAAATCTATACCCTGTGCTACTTTATTTAGAGCACTCGGGTCAGTGGGGCCTCCTTTAGAAGGTTGGTGCGTGCGCGCGGTACCGCGAACAGCGGCGGCCGCTTTCGGTGCCACACGTACCTATCCGGCACACACAACTTAGCCATTCGCAATATCGCCTCGTTATACACTTTTCCACGCAGCAATTTAAACATATATGTTGCCAAACTTAACTCCCTCCTAACCTCCAGTTTGTTATACCCCACCATGCCTAGAACAAATAATGTTGGGTACATTAATGGGTAGAACGGATACACTCCATATATTTTTAAATAAAGAAATCGAATAAATTTATTTTCTATCCGTTCCAGCATCAATTTGTACTTAGCTTCGTGCGGGCTCCATATAAAGCCATTACACTCTAGGTGACTTTTCACTAGTGCTTCATACAAGGCCCGGAGCGCACCGAGATTTGTAAATTCCCGCGACTGACGCAATACAAATCCTAAATTTCTATACGCCTTCTTGCAAATCTTATGAATGTGGTCCCTAAAATTGAGTTTTGAAGTAAAGTGAACACCAAGGTCTTTTACCTCTGTTACCCGCTGCAAGGCTACTCCGTTTAAATTATATTTGTATGTGTGAGGCTGGCGTGAATATGTGAACGACATGACTGAGCATTTGGAAGTGTTAAAAAATAACTTATTCCTATGACTCCATTGTACTACTCTATCAATGTCTGCCTGTAGTTTGCCACAGTCAGCTGAGTCCTTAACTACTGACACCTATTTTAGGTCATCCGCAAATAGAAGACATGTTGATTGCCATATAACATCGGGTAAATCATTAATCATTAGGACAAATTTCAGGGGGCCTAAATTACTTGGTAAGGTATGGTTCTGACAGTTGACCAGCCCAGTCTACAAATTGGCTCCTGTTTCTCATGTAACTGGCGAAAAATGACAATGTTTTCGGCGTACAACCCGCCTGCGCCAGTTTCATGAGTAAGATATCATTGTCGACCGTGTAAACGCCTTACGGAAGTCAAGGTATGCGACATCCACCTGTGCTCCCGAATCCACTGCTGGTACCACTTCTGACATCAGATGAAGCAGATTACTGCCGGTGCTACGCGCCGGCCGAAATCCATGTTGCGCGTCCGAAAGTTGAGCGCTTACTTGCGTATATAGTGAGTGATGTAATGCTGACTCAAAAACCTTTGCCAGCGTACACAGAACTGCCACTGGTCTATAATCCGACACTTTTGTACCACTACTGCCTTTGGGTACCGGCACCACCCTGGTTAACTTCCATATATTAGGAAAAACTGCACTGTTGAGATTAACAACGTCTAACACGGCAGGTTCCGAGTTATATACCGAGTGAAAATATGCCGCTAATTCATTTGCACATTCGCTCTCTGATAAGAAATGCCCATCCTTAATTAATTTATTTTTATTGATACCACCTCGTTTATTTTTCACGAAAGTTCAAAACCCCTTTGGATCTTTCACAAAGCTATTCTGCACTCGCTCCTGGTAAGTACTATAAGCTTAATTAATTGCTTTTTAACTCGCGCTCCACATTGCGAAAAAGTATGATAGTCATCTTTTGACCCACTGGCCTTATATTTTTTATGTAACTTGTATTTAAGTTGTATTTCGCGAATATTCTCCATGGAATACCATTGTGGGTAGCTATACCTACTATTTCCTAACCTATGCTTTTTAACAGGAACACAGTTATTAAATATATTATTTATAGTACGATAGAAATAGTCTAGAGCAACCTCTAAATCAAAAATGGTGTATAGTTCACTCCAATCAATCACAGAAATACTACTGTATAACAAACTGAAGTCTGCCTTAGAAAAGTTCCATTGTTTCTGGTCACCTGAGCATTTGTTGTCCGTTGTAGCGTGTTCTTCAAAATCCGTCGCTGACAGGCAGACCATCAATGGTGGATGACAATCATCTACCGGTTGTAAACCCTCAGTCTCACTCACTGATATCACACCTGTTATACCACTGCCGTGTAATACTAAGTCTAACTGTCTGCCCATGAAATTCTCAACACTACTGCCCTGGATGAATTCACAGAAAGACATAAAATACTCAAAATAATTACAAACATCTTGATTGGCTGACTATAGATTTAAATCTCCTAAAACTAAAACATTATTTTTGTACTTTACACATATATCCTCTATGACGCTAAACATAATCATATATTCTTCAAAATTAGTCTGGGGCGGAATGTACACTACACAACATGTAAATAAGAATCTGTTTCTTAAGTGTTACATAAGTAGCACAGGTTAATTCAAACGCATGATCATCCACGTTAACATTATCCGGTGTAGGCACGTTACGCAGCTCAAACCGCGGTGCTGCCACTAAACACGTTCCTCCCTGCTTACGGCCGTCTGTTCGATCGCAGCGTAGTATTTGGTAGCCGGGGAGGACGATTTCTGCATCTTGGAATGATGCGTTGAGACCAGTTTCCGTTATCGCAAGTAAATCATATACCGATGACTCAACGAGCGAGAAGAATTGCATTATTTTTGTTCGTAATCCTCTTACATTTTGGTATAATATTTCTGTCGTTTTATTTTTACCAACAAGGTTACGCTCTTTTCTCTTTGTCACGAAAGTTCTGTCGCCACGGTTTTACGCAGATGTCTTCAGCCCAATTATTAGGTGACATAATACTGTCAGCAATCTTCAATGGTACTCCCAACTTAAATGATGAGTAGCGCCCCCGAGATTTCAGTTCTTCTACTGTGCAATTATTATTACCGCAAATTGAATACAAATGTGCACGCACCTGTTCAACAGTGGTACCCTCCTGCACGTAGTAGAGATGTAGGTACCTCCACTGCCCAGATGCACGAAGCTCGGTTGTTCCAGGTGCAGCCGTTCCACGGAGCACTCCCAGCCGTGATGCTCGTCCAGGTTTCCGTCGCACGTGTATCCACTCCTCCTGGTTTTCTTGTTCAACTGTATCTGCGGTCTCTAGGGTTGCGTCAAGATGTATATTTATATTCGATGCGTCCAACACAGAAGCAAAGGTCGGAGGTGGTGGTGGCGAAGAAGATGTAGTTGTTTTAACTTTAGAAGATGTATAAGGCTTACCTGCATCTTCCTTTTTTTCTGCTGTATGCCTGTTACATTTTTTACCTTTGTCTTCCCAACATCTAGGTTTAAGGCGGGATTGTCGGATTTTTGCACCGCTACTGTACTGCCCTGCGTTGGTGCACTGTTACGTTGATCTACTATTTGGATATTTTTTTCCAATGTATCAATTTTACATTTAAGATGGTTTATTTTATCAAATACTATTGTCTTGAATTCATTAAATTGCTCAGTTAGTAACATGCAAACATGATGCCACAGACAGACACATATACGCACTACAAACTTATAAAACCCGTCCATTTCCATCGGGGATTAAAAATCATCATCAACAACATTTCAAACATCATTTAAAACTAAACTAATCAAAACAAAATAGGGCCCACCACATTTTTAGGCTGTCATCAAAAAATGGTTATGTTTCTTATGGACAGATGTGTTTAGGCTAGGGAATAAGAAATCGTTTAAACATAATCAATACTAATAGTTATTTATTTGTTTAATAACACACACAAAACACACTTTTTAGGGAAATTGCAGCAAAATAACGAAAAACAAATACTTAACCTAATACTATTTTTTGTGATCATTGTTTGAGCAATGTTATGCTTATTAGCGAGTGGGGCCACCTCTACTCCATATGCACTTTTTTAGCCTATATGGTACACTTTCGATGAGATGGGTAACATTTTCTTCCAGTATTCATTCCCAACAGATGATCAGTTCCTGTCGACTATTCACCTGACTGTAGTCCTGTTTTAGGCTTCTTTTCAGTTAGTGGGACTAAAAAAAATGGTCAATGCGATCGAGGTCGGT